TTTGAAGAAAACTTGAGCTTGGCAAAATTCTTGACATGTAATATTGGAAGAAACTTTTTTTCACCATCCTTGACTTATGGTAAGTTTCTGAAAAATAGAGGGTTTTAGGTCAGAACAAGCAGCTCCAGTGACACAGTGGTGAAGCACTAAGCTGTCTACCCAAAGGTCAGTAGTTCAGATTCACTGGTCTCTCCGGAGGACAAAGCTGTAGCAGCTGCTTCCATGAAGATTACAGCCTTGGACACCACACAGGGAGTTCTGCTCTGCCTTGGAGTGTTGCTAGAGGTCAGAATCAACATGATGACAAGGGTTTAGGTTTGGTTTGAATCAGGTAAAATAAAATGGAAACATTTATAAAATAAATGGAAAAAGTATAAGAGTAGATATATTTAGGCCATACCTAAGAAATGTCAGTATTTTTCAAAAGAGATATATAAAGTTGATGGAAAGAGTAGTTTACAAACAATGGTCATATTTTGGAAATAAAAGTTTCAGAAGAAATTTGATTTTGAAAGGTCAAGTTATGATAGAAACATATCTTCTGAAAATGAGTATTCTGTGGTCTATAACTTTAATCCACCACAGTAAAGACCTAAAATACTAAAATTCTCATTTAACAGTAGCAATAAATTATACTGTAAAAAATGGACAATAAATGACATATTAAACACTGTTTCTATCATTATTTACCACACATTTATGGTTTTCCTCAGGAAGCTGAAATTAATTGTGATTTAGAATACAATGTCCTGAGAATACTTTTTGTAATAAACCTGACATGATAAAATCACACAGCCAACATTTACTAAACCTTTTTATCTGAAAATGTAGATAACAGTTACACCTATGGCTACCTATGTATGGATTGACTGCTTTAACAAAGGGAAGTATTAAATACACTGGAATTTCCATTCTAATTTTAAAATATATGTTAGTTTTTAGTATGTAATTTGACTGCTGACCAGAAGACTGGCAGTTCAACCCACCAGCCACTCCTCGAAAAGAAGACTGGGCAATCTGCTTCCATAGAGATATTGCCTCAGAAACCCAGGGAGGGGTCACTATGAGTTGGCACCATCTCAACAGTAATGAGTTTAGTTTTGGTTTTTAATGGGATAATTATTTTATAATATATCATTATAAAGTATTATTAACAAGTCAGAGTATCTGTTTGTTCATCTTTTTCCTTCTGTGCCTTTTTTTTTTTTTTTTAAAGCCAATGGCACTTGAATGGAAAAACCAGTTGCATAAATTTCTGTGCTTGTAAAACAGGTGAAGTTGCCCAGGCTGAATGGAGAACCTGCACCTACTTGTCCAGTGATGTCTCAGTGGCCACCCATCTGCTGGTGACCACTCCTGGAGGAAAGTTAGTTACAGGGCACAAGTCAGTGCATAACACATTTCAGGTGTGTTTTGAAGAATGCTAATGTGACATAGATCAAGGTGTACTATAAGTGTTTGGAGTTAAAATAATATTACTTAATATACAGTAACATCATTGATGATAAATACACATACAGGTAAAAATATTATGAACAAAGAAAAGTAATTTGAAGAATCTACATCAACATATTGTTTTAACAGTACTTTTTAATGAGTTTAATTTGCCTTGTATTTTGTTGTATTTTAACATTTCTCATTGCACGTTTTACTCCTATGATACTATCATCCCTTAAAACATCAAAAGCATACAGTGTAAAATAATGTGCTAGTCTACCATTCAAAGTTAGCAACTTGGTCTTTTACAGACTAATTAAGCATTTCTCTTGAAATACATTTGTTAACTTCCTAGTCAAAAATGGAGAGTATCAAAAAAGGAAGTCCAAACCATCAGGTTGCTCGTTCTGTTGCTTCTGAGGGAGCAGACAACTAGCTGCTACAAGCCTCACATGAATCAATTAGTCCTTGAACTCTTAGCTTGGAAATGTTCCAGGCACTCTCCTCCGAAATTAGAGGATGATGAAATGTTTCCTTGTCAGCAATCCCCAGGATATGAGGGACCTTCGATTACCGGGAACAGAAGAAAGAGGTGCTCGGCTCTGCTTAGTTTCAACTTAGCGTGTTGGTATTTCTCTAGAGATATAAATTCCTTGTGAACCTTACATTTGAGTAGAACTGAACCAACTGGAAAGCTGAAATAGTTCATTTCTGGAAAAAAAGGCACATATGGAAATACAAAAACAATACACCTCAAAGGTAAATAATGCTATATCACAGAAATTTTCTTCTCCTTAAATATTTTTAATGTTTTCTTTTCAAGAAAAACTTGAACTTAAAAAAATTATAAATATGTAATATTAGAAGAAAACATTTTCAATACCTTAAACTCATGGCAAGTACTATTTTGGATATTGTTGTTGTTGTTGTTGTTATGTGC